TATTCCTAGGTAAAGCACAAAGTGACCAAAATGAAGTCAGCACAGAATCATCTCATCTTGATTAAGGTAGCACAGAAATGTTACCAAAGTCCTGTTGTGCCTTATATTTGTTTGGAAAGACATTAGCAATAGCAGCACTGCCAGAAATACATGATAAATCACTGCCTGTAAATCACTGCCATCAAAAACTGACATTTTCACAGCTCTAGCGTGCTCCGCTGCACAGATTTTTCACAAGAAAGTGTCCCTGGCCTTTTTAACTCATACTAACCGTGTATTTATGGACAAAAACATTGTGAAAACGTAAGACATTGGCTGCCCAACTCTGGGCTGGCAAAAGCTATACTGACTCAAGAGAATCTTAGTACAACATATGGTCATTCTGTACACTCGTAAGGAGATGAGCACATAACAGTTGTTGGAGGGCTCTATTTAGCAGTAACAGGACTATAGGAAAGCCAGTCAACATTTTTTGTTTCTGTAATGAAAACTGGCCCACTCCCTGCCCCAAACCAAACTTGTCACAAATAACTGTCAACAACTTAATTTTCTGTTTTTGGCTAAGATATTGATTTTAAAAAAAAATATTGAAATTGGATTCAGGACTGTTAGCAAGCATTTTTGGCAAACAAACAAAGTTGTTAAATGACCATCTAAATGGCAACACAGAACTGCTTTCATGCTTGGCTCACCCCCAGCCTGCTGGTCCAACAGCTGGAGCAGAGGAGGAGATAGGTGGAAAGCAGCAGGTCCCCAAAATCAACCTCTTGGGGTGCAGAGTGGCAACAGCAGCAAACCCTCAGGTCCAAACACACGCCACTGGGCGCCACCGCCAGCACCACAGACCATGGTGAAGTTAGCACGACTTGAAATGAAATTGCCACTCAAAATTCAGGCCTGATATACACCTAAAACTTAAGTCAATTTAGCGAGGTCACTCAGGGGTGTAAAAAAATAACCAAACGCCCAAGAGACATAGTTGAGCTGACATAAGCCCTGGGATAGACATCACTTGATCAACAGAGGAATTCTCCTGTTAACTTACGCTATCAGCTCTCAAGAGGGTAGATTTACTACAGAGATGGAAAAAATCCATTGTGCCGCTATAGCAAGTGTCTGCACTTGAATGCTACACCGTGGTGTAGCTGCAGCTGTGCTGCTGCAGTGCTTGTAGCATAGACACATCTTCACAAATTCCAGCAACTTTCAGCTACTCAGTTCAAGACTCCTTTTGTCTTAGGTGGGTACTTGTGATTAATCTGTTCTTAGATGGGTTAATTGACATCAAGAGGTGTGTAATTCATTCTGTCATTAGTACCTCTCAGTTTAGCAGTACAAGGCTCAGAAGGAAACTGGTTTTGGGGAGGGCCCTGTAACTTGGGAACCCCTCAGTGAAATGACTGCACATTTGGAACGTAACACTACTCCACGCCCCCATGAGATGCACCAAATTTCAAAGCCATCTGAGGGCACGCCTACACTGGCAGAGAGTTACAGCGCCGGCAGTTAGAGCACTGCGCAGAAAGCGCTGAAGGAAAACCGCTGTTGTGTGTTCACATTGACAGCTGCCTGCGCAATAGCATGTTCACACTTGCAGCGCTATTCGGAGAGGTGCACTCTGGGCAGGTCCTTCACTTTTACCCTGCACTGCAATGTGTCCCGGTCATGGCCCCTTTCTACCATGCATCGTGAAATCTGTCCGTAGGTATCATAATTCCTGCGGCTGGAGTGCAGCTGGAACTGGACAGCCTCCTCTCCCCAAATGCTGATGAGGTCCAGCAGCTCGGCATTGCTCCAAGCAGGGGATCGCCTGGTGCGTGGAGCAGGCATGGCCACCTAGAAAGATGTGCTGAGACCACTGCACGCATCAACGAGCAAACAGGAAGGGGACTTGCAAATCTGCAAAGGAATTTACGGGGTGGGAATGACAGTTGGACATCGGAGGGGAGGGCAGTAGAGTTCAAACCGATGACCAGAGAGGCGAGGAGAGGCATTGTGGGACACCTCCCAGAGGCCAACGGCAGCACTGTAATTGCCATGGTGTCTACACTGGCACCGCAGAGCTGTAGCCCTGGCACAGAAAGCTGCATGCCTCTCGTTGGGGTGGGATTTTTAGAGCGCTACAACTGCGCAGTTTCTGCACACTAAGTGGCTTGGCAGTGTGTACCCCTCGGGAGTTACAGAGCAGAAAGCTGCTTTACTGTGCAGAAACTTGCCAGTGTAGACAAGGCCTGTGTAACCATCTGGATTTTAGAGCACTTAGAAGAGTCAAGTTTAAAGCAAATAAAAAAGCTAAAGGGTTTCCATTCCTGCAGTTTTTTTTTTTGTATTGGCTCATGCATAGTGTAAAAAATGTACATTTTCTTAAATACCGTTTTCAGTTTGGGTCCCCCAAAAATTTAGTGGGTGCCATTTACTACCTTGGGTAAAACTCAACAGATTGAGACCATTTTGACCCACATCACATCAATAGTTTGATCTTTAGCTCTGGGGGGGAAAAACCCACCTAGAATTTTTTTTTAAATGGTTATTTTGTGGGGCTTACACATCTCCAGAACTGCTGGCTCAAATAACTCCTAATTTGGGTTACTAATCTTACCCTGCACCCTCCCGAGACACAACAAAGAAATCTGACTAAGCATGTCAATTTTAGAAGACAAAAAGGTTAGACCTTAAAACAGATGTCACAACGCAACCTTAACTATAGTGACACTTCCTCACCACTATAATTTACTTTAGGAAATAATTGTATACAGTTCTAGATGACATTCCTGTTGGTAAACTTCTTATACTCCTCCCCACCAAAAAAACTTTGGGATTAATCCTATTTTTAGAAAATAAAAAAACCAAACAAAAATCCCAAGCATATAGTTATCCAGAGGCCATAATAGAAAGAGGGAATATGAAGAAAAATAGGCAAGAGATGCTCATTATCTTTCATTTGTGTTGCCCTTGGAACTCTAGCAATAGTAATAAGTAGTGGAAAGCTAAACAAACAAAATATGATCTGTAGGATATATATGCAATAGCCACAAAACATTAGAATACAGAGGGTAATTAAAGATGCACCTTGGTGACACAGGTGGGTACACTTTGAACCAAACACCATTATCTATTCTATTTATCCTCAGTCATTAGAGTGGATAGTACATGCAATAATATCTAAATGCTAAAAGATGGGACGGATTGCAAACACTGTGAAAGTCAAGATTAATTATAGAAATGTAGGACTGGAAGGGAATTTGATAGGTCATCTAGTCCAGTCCCTTGCACTGTGGCAGGAATAAGTATTATCTAGACCATCTCAACAGGTGTTTCTCTAACCTGCTCTTAAAAACCTCTAGTGACAGACTCTACAATCTGCCTAAGTAACCTGTTCCAGTGCTTAAACTATCCTTACAGTAGGAAAGTTTTTCCTAATGTCTAACCTAAATCTCCCTTGCTGCAATTTAAGCCCATTACTGCTTGTCCTGTCCTCAGCAGTTAAGGAGAACAATTTACCACCCTCCTCTTTATAACAACCTTTTATGTATTTGAAAACTATTATCATGTCCCCCTCCTCCACAGTCTTCTCTTATCCAGACTAATCAAACCCAATTTTTGCAATATTTCCTCGTAGGTCATATTTTCTAGACCTTTAATAATTTTTGTTGCTCTCCTCTGGAAATTCTCCAATTTGTCCATCTTTCCCGAAGTGTGGTGCCCATAACTGGACACAGTTCTCCACTACAACACTTCTGCTAATACATCCCAGAATGTTGTGTGTTTGGTTTTTTTATTTGCAACGGTATTACATTGACGACTCTCATTTACAGTACTCCTTCCTAGGCAATCATTTCCTGTTTTATATTATGCATTTCCTTCCTAAGTGTAGTACTTTGCATTTTTCCTTATTGAATTTCATCCTATTTATTTTAGACCACTTCTCCACTTTGTCAAGATCAGCAATCCTAACCATCATCTTGATAAATTAGGGCAGTGAGCTGAAGTTAAATACCTTAGAGACTGATGCCACAAGTACTCCTCGGTTTTTTTGCTGATACAGACTAACACGGCTACCACGCTGAAACCTGTCATAATTAATAGGATACTCAAGTATATGACACTACCAAAAAGGCAAAAGTATAAGATGTAAAGTGTGCATGGAAATTCTCCTCTACTCACGAGTTAATTCTCAATTGGAGCAACACATTTCTTCTGCATCATTTTTTTAAAAGTACCACATTGGAGAGAGTTAAGATGATATATTATGTCCGTCTGTCAGTCTTACTCTCATGCTCTGCTATGGATCTATGCTGACAATTAAACTAAGATGTTTACAAAAACATCTACAATAAATTTCAAATAATAATGAATTTTTTAAAAGTTTATTCGTCCTGTGTTGCCACAAGAGACATGTGGGATTTGCAATGAGAGAGGAGAGGATAAATCTTTAAAAAGAGACACAAAATAAAAGTTTAAGAACCACTGAAATATAAGGTTTCTAATACGAGGAAACTCAGTTTGCTGTAATTCCTTAACTCACTCTGTATTTCTAGATATGCTCCATCAGAACTATTCTCACAAATGTTAAAAAAAATTATTTATCCTATACACTTTGATGCCTGAATATGAAATTACAAGAGTCATGAGTCATACTAAATACAACACATATCAACATATACTAGTGTTGCACCAAGTGCTGCTGTAACTCATTTATTTGAAATATTTAAGTTCAATCTTTCAAATACAAGATTTTCTAATGCACTGAAAACTAAGGCTTTTTATTCCTTTATTTATTTTATTAAGTAGTCACCAAGTTCATGTATTCTGTAACTTCCTTCAAGTTTGGTGTACTCTATCAGTGCTTATATTCAGATGAATGGTATTTAGTGCTAAAAAAAGGATCTTTAAAATGAGAAGAATCTAGACATCTTCCATCTATCAAGTAGTTACCCAACTTCAAGGTCTAACAAAACATGGAAACAATAGCTAATGCAATCTTAATTTCTTTTACTCACCGGTGTTATAACTCAGAGGACCACTTTAAGCGAATCTGGTTGACCACTTCAGAAGACCAGCAACACCTGGAGAAAAGTTTGAAATGTAAGAAAGTTATTATAGAGCCAAAAAATACTAACCACACAATTTAGGACTCCTAATAGTCCCTGGAATTTAAAAACTTTTCTTATAAAAGGCTGCACATAGTTAATGTTTCACTAGTATAACATTTCTACTTCACAAAAAAAATGCAACATTCTGGACACCGCTCCAAACCACTGATGAACCAAGAAAAAGACTCATGTTTGAAAGAGTAATGCATAAAGCATTAAGTATGCTCAAGAACATACGTTTGCAAGTCCCTTCTACCACGTTAAGAATTTATGCAGAGGTTTTCAAATATGGCTAAGGGATTTGCATGCCCAATTCCCATTTAAGTTAATGTTTCTATTTAGGTGACATTTATGAAAAATTTGGAAAAGCTTCTAAAATGGGAATATATACTTAATCTAAACAGTGGACCGTGACTTCAGGTACAACTCTGCAAGCTTCTGGACACGTCCTGGAATGTCAAGAACATCCTCAATTTCCAGGATATGTTTAGTAGGATTGGGCCCATTATGACTTTTCTCTCATTTGCAGAAGGAAAATTAGGCAATGAACTTGCTGAACAGTAGTAGGTCAGTAGAAGGCAGGGCCATGAATCTGCTGGAGAGATATAAGTTGCTGGGTGGGAAATGTTCCATGGCAGTTGGGAGTAGTCGCTCACCCAGATGCAGGCTGTGTGGCAACTCTGACCAGAGAGAGATGCTGAAGTCACTTGGTACAGTAGAATGACTATTGGAACCCCCTCACGGGACGAATGATTGCAGCACTTCAGTGGCAGCTCATCAGCCCCAGCAGTGAGGCACAGCCTAACCAAGAATTTCCAAAAGTTACAAAACATATTGTGTACATTCCTTTTTATTTAATTCATAAATATATACAGATTGAAGGACAAATCGTGATTTGATTTAAATGTCACAACTCAGTCTCTCCAGTCGCAAAATGCAATGCCAAAGAGTTTGAAGAATGTAATGCTACATAAGGCTCAAATTTTGGTATAGCTAATAGTGCGTCAAGATGCTGATTTGTTACCATGGCAATGTCCCACACCCAGAGTCACTTTAAAAGGGGTTTGCTGCGGTAACCACTGCTTGGTGAGGCAACAGGAGGATTGCAGCAGTTGAGCCTGGGCTGCAGGGCGCTTGCAGGGGACGGGGATGGATCTGTGTGGGGGCCTTCCTGGCCCTCTCTCCGGGGAGGGGTGCCATGCATATACATGAGGAGCCCCCGCCGAGCCCTGGACCTGCCCCATGCTCTGTCCCCATGCCAGCCTGGGTAGCAGTGGTGGCAGCTCCGGTTCCACCTCCTGCTGCTTCACTATAAATCAGGTAAGCTTTCAATAGCTACTAATTATACATCAGGTGGAGGTGGAAATAACTACTTTGTGATTTGTGCCTCACTTGTCAAAGTCAGCAGAGCATTGACTAAAATAAATTCAGATTATTCCAGCTGTTTAAGGATGCAAAGTTCTATCGTAAAAAGAAAACAACTGTGTTTGGACAGGAACATGCCAGCTACTCTTCTGAAAAAAGGTTCAATCCAGCAAACTACTGAACCATATACTATTTTAAGTGTCTGAATTCAGTGGGATTATTGACATGAGTAAAACCAAGCAATGTGTTTAAGAGCTTTCCTGGATCAGGTGTTTACTCTTCATCCAGACACAATGCTATGGAAGCAATGTGCTCGGCCTCTTGGTAAGCAAGCCTTGAACCACTGAACGTAGATCTCTCCAACTATCTAAACAGTGGCATGATGCAGTACCAGGAAGCAAGGATTAGTATATTATAGGAAGGTGGAGGACCCATCAGGAATACACATGAAGTGGGAGGTGAGGGTGGAAGAATTCTCTCTCTCTCTCTCTCTCTCAGGAGCTCCCTCTTATAAATCACACAAAAGAAATATGGAAGCTCTTTTGACTCCTAATTTGGTTTGAAAATGTGTGAAATAAACCATTTCTCCCTTTCCACTAAATTAGCTGTTAATTTTGCTGCACGGTTTGCACCACCACCACCACGAGGAAAACATTTAATCCTTCATTTTCAGTTATTTAACTATTTATGCATTAGTAAAGCAGCAGCATTTTGGCCTAACCTTTAAGGACAAACTGATAGTCTTCTAATTATACATCAGGCAGAAATATGAACTTAAAACCCTATTCACAATCTTAACAAGAAAAGGCACATATGCTTGTTACTATTAATGGAAACCCAAACATCTTGATTAGTACTACTGCTATGCAAATTGAATTTCTATACAATAGGAGTTGGGGGTCAGTATTATTACAACTTTCTACCACAGTCAGTCTTTTGTGCAAAATGAAGAAAGTAACACAGATATATATACTCTATTTTAACACATCCCTTTCAAATAGCTTTTTCTTCATACATAATCCATGGCAGCACAGCACATATGGTACTATGTCAAAAGGAAATATCTAAATCAAATGTGAAGAAAAATGTATTTCTTTTATGCAAGTTTGTTGACACAGATCAGAAAACTAGTCCAGTCGCTAAAATTATATTACACTGTACAGAACTAACTTATTCAATGGGTTCTCCTTCTGGCATCATTTTAGTACTGTACAAAACTAAAAGGAAAAAAAAGACTTCATTACTGAATAGCTGTCATTAAGGCTAGCTTCAGAAACAATAGCAAAACAGAAAAAAAATGTTTTGATTAGGGGAGTGACTCTACTGACACATTAACAAAACACTAGGTGTTTGGATGTTCAACTGTAGAAAATGTTAACAGCTCCAGGCGTACAGTGGCTATTTTAAAATGTCCTGTCATCTATTATGGGGACTTTTCACCTCTGTTTTGCCACTCAAAGTTACACTTAATTTTCTTTTCTTTTAACCAGGTAAGCTACATTACAGTGAAAAGATAAAAACAAGAATTGAAGTTATATAGAGCTAGAAAAGTATATTTTAAATGTGTATGCAAAGTCAAATCAGCATACAGAAAACACCAATATCATAATTTACACGTTATATCAGTAAGGAGAAAAAATAGATAGAACTTTTGCACTTCTCTTTAAAAGGAACACAAAATACTAATTGATGCAATCCTTCACCTGAATACACATGCTCTGAACTTGCAGCTAATGCAACCCTGATGTGACTATAATAAATTGCTGATCAATGTCCATAATCCATATTCTCCCACCACCACACCTTATCCAAAAAATAGGCATAGCATATCTTTACGCATCGTTAAAAGAGTTTAAACCAAAGATTAAAATTTTACAATCCTTGGGATTCCCACAAAACTGAAGAGAATAAATACTGAGGAATTAACAGACCTATATTGTGAATGTGAAAGATCCCGCTCGGTGTGTTACCTAGTAAAATAAACATCTGGCTGTCCACTGCATTAAGTTACTATGTTTTCTTTACAAAGAAGCCAAAACAAACTATCTGGGGTAAAGATAAGACAAATTTAGCAGGACAGCTTTCTTTTAAATGAATGTTAATTTCTACACTTGATTTAGGTCTACATTTAGTTAAGATTAAGCTTATTAGTTTGAAAATTTAGAATATGAAGCATTAACTAAGACTTCAACCCAGCATGTACTAAAATCAATGGGAGTGGAAAAGTGACCCTATGCTTATATACATTTAAGACTCTGTACAAACAGTTAATCTTTACAATATGCTTAAGTATTATTATCCCCTTTTCACAGGTGGGGAAACTGTAGCAGAGAGATTGAATTTCCCATGGCTGCATAGTGAGTTGAGCAAAGATCAGAATTCAGAACTTTAATTATATTAATGCTGCATTCATATCTTCAACGCACACAACATCCTAACAGTACAATGCCCATTGTTACTGACCTCTCTCTGATTGCCAAAAAGGGTCACTATAGTGATGTGGATATCTGTCCGAGTGGAACTACAATGACCAACTCATCTTAGGACTCAGCTGGATCACTGACTGGCCACTGAATGGTAGCTACTTGGTTACTATTGACATAGGCCAGATTGGAAGAGGCAACTTAAAATGATGAATATCTCTGTACCCCACTGCCAAATCACTTGGGTGATCCAGTACCTTGGTATTATCCTTCCCAGTGATATTCCTCCATGTTCTGTGTAACAATCTAGAACCTCTCAACAGCCTTGAGTTATTCTTCTGTCTCTCTTCTTTACAAGTCAGTCGGTCCTTAAAAAAAGAGGAGTCCTATTTTCACAAAACTGTTGCACAAAACTTCCAGATGTCCTGGCTCAATGAAGCCGTAAGGAAATACTTAAGGAATTAAGTTCTCTGCCTGCAGAAATTGGATTGGAATGGCTCCGAGATCTCAGAACAAAATAGTTCAGGAAATAACCTTTTCATGCAGTCTTAGGGTATGTCTATACTACCTGTCAGATCAGTGGGCAGCGACCAATCCACCAGGGGTTGATTTATCGCATCTAGTCTAGAAGCAATAAATTGATCCATGAGCGTTCTCCCGTCGACTCCTGTATTCCAGCGCCTCGAGAGGCGCAGGCAGAGTCAATGGGGGAGCGGCAGCAGTCGACACACCGTAGTGAAGACACCGCGGTGAGTAGGTCTAAATACGTCAACTTCAGCCACGTTATTCACATAGCTGAAGTTACTTAACTTAGATCGATTCCCCCCCGCCCCCCCGCAGTGTAGACCAGGCCTTAGACATGTTAATTGCAAATCTTTGATAAGATGTTAGTAAACAACATGTAATTTTGTTAAATTCCTAGGTAGCTGTAAGACTGTAATCCAGCACTATATGGCTGTTCTACAATCCTGTTTTAATGTGAATTTGTATATGCTATATGAATAGCTATTGATTTGCAGTTTTACTCTTCAACCCTAAACCATTTCATACAGAACAGTAAAAAGTCACCAGATGGTGCCAACTCAGTAAACTAGAGGTTAAAAGGTGAGGACTCCCTTATCGAATCCCAAGTCCTTTAGTCCGCATACATCATATAGAATTTGTTAACTTTGTTGCCTGCTTGCT